ATGTCGTAAGATATGTCATATTTGGTTTAGTAGGAGATTCGCAAACTCATTTGTATTGCAATTGTATACGGCTATATATAGTTGTCTGGAGACTATTGTATATCACGAACAGTTGTTTTGATTAACTTGTTATTGCAACATTCTTTCGTTATTTACTCAAGATGGATTCTACATTAGTTCCAGTGCTAAAATAACTAAAAAAAGGATATCAGTAAGCCAATTATTTAGTTAAGAAATGCTTTAGCTCTGTAACAGATAAAGTACTCACTATGAGTGATAAAATAGTGCTGCCAACGAATCCGAATTTTTAATAATAAAATAAACAAACATTAAGTAGTAATAAGAGAACTTTTGTCCTCTTTTCTATTTCTTAATTAAAATTCGTATTTCATTTCTTAACTTGTCTAATTAGGGTATTTTCTAGTCTTGTTATGAAGATAGACAAGCCAGACCAATCAGACTAATTGAGTAACTGCTGATCATCATAACTCTTGAGATAGGGAAACAGTTTTAAATAATTTATATATAGAAGAATAGAAATCAGTCAATGCCACAAGCAAATTGAAATGGAAAATCAAAGAACTACTTAATATGTTTCTTGCTACCTTTGAATCTGACTAAAATATGTAAAAGACAAAAATTGACCCTCCAAAACAACTTTTTGAAATGAAATACCTCAACTTGAAAGGAGACAGCGAATAAGTTAAATGTTGCAACCCATTGAGCAAATTACCAAAGACGTGCTCTGGCATTGGGATTATTAAAAATCAAGCCCTAAAAATTAATAAAACCTGTGAAGCAATGACGAAAACATTCAGTCTAGATTACGTTCCAAGCAAAAGAAGGGTACTGTTCGTAAAGTACAAACATATTTCTTGAAAATAACTTATTATTATGTGTTACTTAGATTTATTAGTTGTTCTTATACGAGTATACAATGAACTAGAATCTAATAACAATAGATTCTAAAATGAAATTGCTTTGAATAAATCTACAATTAAAGTTCCTTTTAAATAGACTTTGGCAAAACATGTTCAGTGTAAAAACTCATTGTTAATACAATTCTGGGACAACTGTGACAAAAATTATTTCCTACATACTCATGCGAATTTCAGTATCGATTTTAAATATCCTTTAGGTTGCTTTGTAATATCAACAAAGTTTTTAATGATATAATATTCCTGTTTTTCAAATGCCTCCAACATATTTTCCATTACAATGCTTTTGTCGTCTCTTTTCTTTTTTCCCACTGCTTTCATATGAATCCGATTCACAATCTACAATTAAATTATATTATAATTTATGACAAATGATATATATTATTTAATAGTTATAATTTTATAAAATCCAATAACGTTGAAATATGATCTGTAATAAGATTGAATTTGGCTCAACTGTATCAATAAATTGTACTCCACACACGCGGCGGTATTTCAGCCTCTCACATTAATTTTATTTCTTAGTTTATATAAGCTTCATTTGCCCCGGGCCTGTGTTCAAATTTTTTAACTATACGTCGGCCTATATATAATTTTTCTGATTTACTGGATATCTGCTGATTTGATGTATTATAAAAATCTCCTTATAACCCTTATCAATTGCATTTTAAAATAAAAGTAAAAAAAAAATAATTAAATTTGTTTTATATTATATTCATCAAAAATAATTATCATCATGTGCCTCTTATTTTTTCACGCACAAATAACTCTTAAAATTCTGCTTTTTTATTTGAAACGCACAAATAATTGTTATTTGTGCCTTTTAAATATAAAAATCATTGCTATTTTTTTTTGGTAACCTCTTCCTAAAATTTTTTCCTTCTTTTCTAAACTAGCAACTTAGTTAAATTTTACTCTTTATTTAATAATATTTACTGCCCGTACTTACCAAAATCCCGCACTTCCTTTGGTTTCTAGTAATCATTGAAGATTTGTTGATTCTAAATAATTTGCAATTTTTTATAAACCATTACATGTCCTTTTGTATTATCTTCGTCACATTTCGAAATCCAAAACACAAATGACCATAAATGACCACAAATATGACACTGAAAAATCATGACAATGTGACTGTCGTGTAATTATGACAACATTTTGATTCGCCCAATTATAATTTCGGCTAAAAAGGTGATTTTATATATGCCATAGAAATAATTTTTTTGTGAAATAACCAATTACAGTGTGGCAACACCAAATATTTCTTTTGACATGATGTAGTTTCCCAAATTTGCTTTCATATTATTTTATACATACAAGTTCTGTCAAGTCTTTCAACAAAAACCAACAAGACGCGAGTGTCCAATGTCCAAAATTAATAAACCTAAAAACAAGGGTGGAATGTGGTCGAGCGATTTTCTGTTGGAACGTTCGAAGCGTAGTCATGAAGACATGTTAACAAAATTAAAAAAAGAGATTTAAAGGGGTTGGAAGAAAACTTAAATATGTCGGAAGAAGTATTTAATCATCTGTTAGACCTCATCAAGTCACGTATATCAAAGAAAGAAACCAAATTGCGAAATGCCATTTCTGCCGTAGAACGGTTGGCTCTAACCACGCGTTTGTTGTACTCTGGAAAGAACTACAGCCAATTCATAGTTATTTATAGTATATCGGTGCAATCAATTGCAAGTATTGTGCCAGAAATCTGCTTCGCTTTTTTAAAACTTTAAGAAAAGATTAGGTAAGTAAGTAAATTGATTGGAACTGTTTTTTTTTTCAAAATATATTTACTATTAACATCTCTCAATTAGTTTCCGCAAAATGAAAGAGAATGGAAAAAAATTGCTTATGGTTTTCATAATAGGTGGCAATTCCAGATCTGCATTGATGCAGTTCGATGCAAGTACGTATTAATACGAAAACCAAGAAGATAAGAAGATTTCGAAAATCATGAAGGAATATGCAGCATTATATTATGTGGCATTGTGAACTCAAATTATGATTTTATATATATCCACGAAGGTGTAAATGGTTCAGTTGTCGATGGTCTACTATCAGATCCAAATCAATTATAAAAAAAGAACTATCCAAAAGAAAAAACTTCACCGAAGGGGGAGGTATTCAATTATCGTTTAAATCGTGCACGTCGAATCGTGGAAGATACTTTTGGTCATTTAGCTACAAAATTTAAAGTTTTACAGAGGACTCTTCAAATTAAATTGGAATATTTAGATGCCATTATATTGGGTATTTGCACTCTGTATAACTTTTTAAAAGTACATTCGGTTGAATATAGGACAGCCAAAGACGTTGACATGGAAGACCTAGACCATGGTATTGTGGTCCCTGGTACATGGAGAGACAATAAAAAATTACCGGCATTTGACAAAAGGAAAATTTATTCTTTGATAGAATCAAAGAAACTGCGAGATAAATTAAGAGATTATTACTGCAATGAGGGTTAAGTCTTCTTTCAATACAAAATGATAAATTCTGTTGACCGAGAATAATGCAGAATAAAATAAGATAATCCACCGTCTTTTGAAAAACCTGACAAAATGAAGCATTTAGATATCCCGAAGTATCACAAATGTGTGATGTAAAAAAGTAAGTGGTAGAGCATTACAGTGGCAATAAATAGAATAAAATAACATGATTTGGATGTATGTATAATTCCACAGACTCTTGTGACTACTGACATTCATTAATAAATAATATGTGCTGACTTTATCAAAACTGTTTACGAATACTTAAAATGAAACTTTAAAAGATTATTTTTATTTTGATCAAAAATTTCTTATTTTCATTACCAATAACTCATTAATCTGTTTCTTAAATATATAATAAAGTAATAATGAATTTGTATTTTAAAATCTTAAGTAAAATTCTTGCTTATTTTGATGTTTATGCTTTAGTATTAAGCCATTTCTAGATACCAATGCTATTTCTGAAAAAGTAGTCAGCGAAGATTTTGATGTTTGTTTTGAAACTCATCCGCACGATATTTATGCCAATTCAGTCATATATCTGGTTATAAATAATTTTTTTTCTGAATATTGCTTTTAACGATAAGTGCATATGGGTCTTTCTTTTACAACTCGGACACCCTTTTGACCTCATGATCTCCGCTTTGTCTGAAATTTTTTTTATTAGCTCCTTTCATCAAATAAGAAGACCCGTATCTCGGGAAAAAATTGTATTATTTTTTTCCTAGGAGATATGGACCCATGGGGTTTTGAGAATTGGCATTGTAGACACATTTTCAAATGAGTAGATCTCAAGTTCTATAAAAGATAGAAACTTGAAATTTACAGCGTTTCAAAGATAATTGATTGTACTTTTATGAAATTGTTTAAACAATTAAAATTGTGTAATCTAGCAACTCTAAATACAAAACGCATCAATTCTTCGGTTGTCAGTAATATACTGACTCCTTTATTTTCATGATACACATCAGTTGAACTTGACAAACTAGAGTTGCCATGTTATATTTTCTTATGTGTAATATAACAATGATAAACTAATTACTAAACTTATGAATTAAACACTTATACTAAATACTTACTCTAAATACTATATACTACTACAATTGTTAATACATAAGTACTTATATTAACCGTTAAATTTCAAAAAAAAATTTTCTCAAAACTATTAGCTAAATTTTAATTTTTTATATTTTATTTGGATAAGAGTTTTAAATTTTACTACGAAAGAAAAATTTTCAGGAACCCGATATTTTTTAAAATTTTTTAATATTTTTTTCTCCTCCAAAACACATCACACATGAGTGAATTTTCAAAGAATATACTACAAATATTCTTATATAATATTTTTGATTTAGATTAGTAATAAAATTCTATATAAATCTCAAAAATGTATATATTCTACTTAAAAAATAAATATTTCCAGTGTGATATTCCTTTTAGAAGTACGTTGCTCATACGCACCATAGTACC